AAAAAAAAAAAAAAACTTCTGTGAAGCCTCCAGTATAGGAAGCCAGTGACATCTCCCCCTACAGTGATCAGCAAATGCCCGTGGGGTGCAGCAGCCCCTCTCTATCCAGCCTGTCAGGAAGACCTCGGACCAAGGGACTAGAACCTCAGCCTCCCAACCCCAGGGACTGGGGTTGTTGAAATCCATGGGCTCACATGTACTCAGAACTTAGCCTTTGAGCTGTGTTCTCTCACAGGTTAAGGAATCGGACTTCTGGCCACACGGTCAATTAGGAAGGCCTGACCTGGTTGGCCTACTTCTCAAGCCCACTGTTACTTCCCCAGCCAGGGCACTAAGCTGGCTATTTTTACTCCCCAAGGACAAAGTAGTAAGGTCAAACCAGACCTACAGCCACTTTTCCCCAGAGCTGTCCTACAAAGGGGGTCGGGGTGGCTCAGACACTGCTCCTCAGGCAGCATCTGGTTCAGGTGCCTGCCCTGGTCACTAGCAGTCCAGCACTGTAGGAAGAAGCTATTTTTGTCCTTGTGCAGAAAGGCATAAAAGGAGGTGACAAGGATCAGAATGTGTTACATATTCGTCTCCTTCCTTGGCAAACAGTTTTATTTACAAAACAGGTCTAAAATAACATGAAATAACAAGCTCTTGGGAACTGCAGAAAGGTGGCTCTTGGGGACCCATCTGTGAAGCCACATCCAATCAAAGGGCCTACAAGAGGGCCAAGTGGGTGTCGGGACCTAAAATTTGAACTCCTTGTATTTCTTGCTGCCTCCGCGGCTGTCCTGGGGCTGGGCTTTCCGTTTCTTTTGCTACAGGGGAGAAAGAGAAACAGGTTACAACAGGCTAAACAATCCCTTGGCCCCCAAAACAGGAGTGGGCAGCCTGACATAGTCATGGAAATCTGTGGAGAAGGTGCTGAATCTGGGTTCTTTTCTACCTCCCTCACAGACTTGGAGGAGCTCCTTCCCCTCCTTGTGCCTGGGTCCCATGGCCCCTGAAGAGAGGCAGCTCACTGACAGAAGGGCTCCCAAGGCCTTGGGCCAGGACACCAGGGCAACAGTGCAATGGGCACCGGCTGCCTGGCTCTCACCAATAGAGGGCACCCCTCCCATAGACCAGCTCCAAGAAAGCACCAACCTTCTGCTTGGCAGCGTGCTCAGCCACCATGTCGCTGAAGTCTTCCTTCTCCACTTGTGCCTGCTGCTCCCGTACATGCTCCTCGTACTTCTGGGTCATGGCCATGGGGTCCAACTCCAACTCCTCAGGGGCCAAGGCCACTTCCACACCTTGCAGCTCAGGGGCTGGGCCCTTCCGGCTCATAACCTAGAAAGGAAAGCAGGGCCTTGTCATCTTCAAAGAGAGTCCCAGAAGCCCTAGCTTCTTCCCCCTTTTCCTATCCCCCCAAATCAGTGTCCTCCAAGTGCTCACCGTGGACATGTCGTAAATGTGAGTTGATCCCATCATAGCTCCTCCAACAGTGGCTGTTCTCTTCTCCGGCAACACAGTGAAGAGCTGTGGTGTCTCACTTCTGTAAAGGACAACGGAGTCAGGCCCCAAAATGGAAGAGACAAAAGAGTATCCAAGAGGGGAAACAAAAAAAAAAAGACAGGTGATACCTCCACCCCACTCGGAGAGGTTCTGAGATACCCAAGGGCATAGCCTCTGCAGTTCATGGAGAAAAGAATTGGGTCAGGCATGGGGATGGGGGAGAGGCACAGAGCCTGGAAAGGACAGAACTAAGACGCCCCTGACTCAAGCTCAGGGATGAGAGACCATGACTCCTGTCTGCAATGAAAGGCTAAAGGTCAGAGAGGCCGAAAGTTTCCAAGAGAACTCGGGTACAGAGAACCTGGCAAGAGAGAACAGACTACAACAGTTCCAGCGCACAGTTGTGCCTGCAGTTCTACTGTGCACAATCCACAATGCCAGCCCTTCCTATGGTGCAAGAGCCACCACAGCCAGTTGTATCAATTCCAGGGATTCCACTGGGAATAAGCAAATCTGCCTGTATCTCCCAGATGTCCTCATCTCTACCTCCCAGTGGAAGAAGTGACAATCTAATCTGTATATAGGAGCCACAATGCATGCCTTACAACAGCATTCCGCTGAGTCCTTGGCTCAGTCCTCTGAGGCATCTGATCATTAACTGAATAAAATCTGAACTCTTTACCATGCATGACTTAAAGAGTTCATGGTCTGGGCCTTTACCCTAGTCCCTCCTCATTATACTCTATTCATAGTATACTTTTTCTTCCTTAAATATGCAAAGCTTAAGACTTCTGCTTTCTGGCTCGGCGCCTGTGGCTCAAATGGCTAAGGCACCAGCCACATACACTTAAGGTGATGGGTTCGAATCCAGCCC